ATGCTGCAGCCCCCCACCCAGCAAAGAGCCCTGTCCCCCTTCCCTGCCCACAGCCCCCAACCCACCTTCTGGTTGGTGTTTTCCAGCGCCCACCACCACAGTGGGCTCCTCCAGCACACCAGGGTCAGATTCTCGGCGGCGAAGGCCAGCGCCCAGAAGAGGAGGAGGACAGTGCCATGGCCCCGTGTCCGGTCATGCGTCAGCACTCGCGTGTGCTCCAGCTGCAGGAGCGCGACTGCACAGCCCCAGCTGAGGGCCCAGAGGCAGGCGTGCAGCAACATGTACCCATAGAGCCGTCCTGGCCCTCCCGCTTGCCACAGCAGCTCACCAAAGGGCTGCAGGGCCAGGAGCAGGGACAGCAGGACCTGGCCGCAGTAGAGGCGTGAGCGGGGGATGTACTTGGGCTCCATGGCACGGCCGAAGCGGACGTAGCAGGAGTACTGCAGGGCGCCCAGCAGCAGGCAGACACTCAGCAGCACAGCTGGCACCAGTGTGAAGAAGAAGCAGGGCTGGAAGCCCTGCTGGACCCAAGCCTGGGCAATGGAGCTGTTGCCTTCACAGTAGCCCCCCAGCACGGCCATCCTGGCAGGTCACTGGCTGCAGAGAGAAGAGGGGTTGGAGCAAGGTCTCAGGATGGGCTGTTGGGTACAGCTGCAAGGAAGGACCCAAGTCAAGAAGAGTGGGGCACTCATGGGGACACGGGCAAGCACTGCTGGACACGGACACACGGGACACGCAGCATGCAACACACAGGCAGCCGTGCACACAAGCAGGGCCAGCTTTGCCTGGGGGTGGGCATAAGCACCACGCCAGGATCCACTTGTGAGCCCTGGCAATGCCCTGGGCAGGGTGGGTAATGCTGCACGGGGTCCCCCAGAGCCACCTAGGCCCTTGGGGATGCACTCGGACACGGGGGGCCGCAAGAGCCGCAGGGACAGGAAGGAGGTGCTGGGAGCAGTCCTGAACCGGGGGGAGCAAGGGGGGCAATGCAGGGGCAGGGCGAGGCGGGGCGGGTAATGCGAGTGGATGCACCGGGAAACGCCGAGTAATGCAGGGGACATGCAAGGAAGGGCGCAGGCGGGGGACACGCCGGGGCGATGCGTGGGGACACGCACGGGGAAACACACGCACAGGACGAAGGACA